GGGTTAGCTAGTTATTTGTAAATTGCATGCTACTGCAGCAACATCACACACACACACACACACTCATGCACATATAAGAAATACATCATTTTTAAAGATAACATGTAAAAAATAGAAATAATTTTCTCACAATGTCCCACTTAGGACCCCATTGGTCCAGGCAAGAGGGAGTGGTGGCTTAAAACAGGTGGTGACAATGGAGATTGGGGAACTGGGGATGATTTGAAACATGTGGGCGAGAGCTGACCTGTGCAAAATGTATCTTGGGATTCTTGACCTGTGGCTGATGGACCGGGTTTGCTGGCGATTCGATCAGCTCTGACTTGCACTGTCTGTACTGGATGCTGTCCCATGGGAGCAGCGGATGGGTGGATATCTGTTTCTGGAGCTCATGAGGGAGTCCGGGCTGGGGATGGGGATTTGGGGACCCATCAATGCAGGGGGTCATTGGAGATCAGATCACAGTGCTGTGCACTGCATGACTCCAGGGGGCACCATCCAGGTGGCACCATCCAGGGGGTACCATCCAGGGGTACCATCCAGGGGGCACCATCCAGGGGGTACCATCCAGGGGGTACCATCCAGGGGGCACCATCCAGGGGACACCATCCAGGGGACACCATCCAGGGGGCACCATCCAGGGGGCACCATCCAGGGGGCACCATCCAGGGGATATTATCCAGGGGGCACCATCCAGGGAGCACCATCCAGGGGACACCATCCTTGAAGATGATGCTGTGAGTGGGATCTCATCAAGATTGCCCTGGGAGTGCATGGGGAGAAAGAGGAGCGTTCAGGACTTGATTAACTAATCAGAAAAATGAGTCACTCAACCTGCCCCAGGTCTTGGGAGCCCACCTCTTGCATGCGTGTGCCCTGGATGTGGAACATGGAGTCAAATAAGATGATTTTGGAGCTTTAAGATTTAGTGACTCCCCTACTGGGTTTTGGATTTGCATGGGGCCTGTGGCCACTTTCTTTTGGCCAATGTTTCCCTTTTGGAATGGGAATGTTTACCCAACACTTGTATCCCCATTGTATCTTAGAAGTAACTAACTTGTTTTTGATTTTACAGGCTAATAGGTGGGAGGAACTTGCCTTGTCTCAGATGAGACTTGGGACTCTGGCCTTTTGAGTGAATGAGTTAAGACTTTGGGGACTTTTGGGAAGGCATGATTGTATCTTGCAATGTGAGAAGGACATGAGATTTGGGGGACCAGGGGCAGAATGAAATGGCTCAGATCTGTGTCCCCACCAAATCTTGTGTCAAATTGTCATCCCCAGTATTGGAGGTGGGGCTTGGAGGGAGGTGATTGGATCATGAGGATGGATTTCTCATGAAGGGTTTAGCACCATCCCCTTGGGCTGTTCTCATGAAAGTGAGTTCTCACAAGATCTGGTCGTTTAAAAGTGTGTAGCCACTCCCCACTCTCATTCCTGCTCTGGCCATGTGATGTGCCTGTTCCTGCTTCACCTTCCACTACGATTGTAAGCGTCCTGAGGCCTCCCCAGAAGCTGAGCAGATGCCAGCACCGTGCTTTCTGTACAGCCTGCAGAACTGTGAGCTAATTAAACTTCTTTTCTTTGTAAATTACCCAGTCTTGGGTATTTCCTCTTTTTTTTTTTTTTTTTTTTTGAGGGAGTTTCATTCTTGTTGCCCAGCCTGGAGTGCAATAGTGGCTCACTGCAACCTCCACCTCTTGGGTTCAAGCAATTCTCCTGCCTCAGCCTCCCGAGTAGCTGAGATTACAGGCATGTGCCACCATGCCCAGCTAATTTTGTATTTTTAGTAGAGACGGGGGTTTCTCCATGTTGGTCAGGCTGGTCTTGAACTCCTGACCTCAGATGATTGACCCGCCTCGGCCTCCCAAAGTGCTGGGATTACAGGCGTGAGCCACCGCGCCTGGCCTCAGGTATTTCTTTATAGCAATTTGAGAATGGACTAATACACAACCCCACAAGTGTTTTCATACAAAAAGGAGGCCATCTTTTGTAAAATTTCCATCCCAGGAAATAACCATCAATTATCCTTATAGATTCACTATCACTTCCAAATATCTGTGTGTGTATGTGTATGTGTGTGTGTATCCCAAAATCATAATATTCACATGGGGGTGGTGTAGACAGAAAACAGGGACTACCAGAATTCAAAATTAACCCTAACCCTTGGAGAAGAAAAAAGGTGTCTATTCTATTTGTAGTATTCATCCAACCAACCATCTGAACATTCATTTACACATCTACCCATACATCCACACATCTATTCATCCCACAGGGATCCATCTGCCCACTCACCCATCCCTCCACATAGTCATCCATCCATGAATCCATTCAGCCACCCATCCATTGATCCATCCACCCATCCATTCATCCAACAAAGAAAGAAAATATATCTCCAAGAAAAAAATTGTGAGCTCCATAATGATACATTTATTCATGTATTTATTCGTTAAATGTAAGCTGAAAGTCAATTCCCAGCCCCTCTCTGTATTCGCCTCCACCCACTCTCTTCCTTGCTCACTCCTCTTCAGACACTGCGGCCTCCTATGCTGTTCAAGCAGGACAAACATCTTCGTCTCCAGGTGTTTCCAGGCACTATTCCCTCTGCCCAGAATGGTTACTTCCCTGGTAATCCAAAGTTTCCTGCCCTCCTTTCACTGCCACCTCCAGGAAGACCTCCTTGACTGGCTGCTCTGAAAGATCCCTCCTTCACTCCACATCTCACCTGCTTACACTTTGTAGAACTTATTGGGACCTGTTATTTTAAGTTAAACTTACAGACTGATGAACCCCCAAAGATAAAAGATTTATAAGGAGAGGGTTTGTCTTGGGTTCAACCCTATCCGTCACATTTAACTCAGTGCTGACCCATAGTGGGATATCAGTAAATATCTGCAGAACATACATATACTTTTTTTTTTCTTTTTCTTTTTGAGACTCTGTCTCACCCTGTCACCCAGGCTGGAGTGCTGTGGCATGATCTAGGTTCACTGCAACCTCCACCTCCAGGGTACAAATGATTCTCCTGCCTCAGCCTCTGAGTAGCTGTAATTACAGGCGCCCACCGCCACCCACTGCTGATTTTTGTATTTTTAGTAGACATGGGGTTTCACCATGTTGGCCAAGCTGATCTCGAGCTCCTGACCTCAGGTGATCCACCCGCCTCGGCCTCCCAAAGTGCTTATTTGATTACAGGCGGGAGCCACTGCGCCCGGCCCACATATACTTTTGAATGAAGAAAGGAATGAATGAATAATCTACCTGAGCACAGAGACTGAGCGTTTATTTATTTATATTTATTCTATGGTTTTGTTTTCCAGATGGAGATGGAGCGTGTAAAACAGAAAGTGGTTCCGTGGAGGCTGCCAGGTCTGCGCACCTGTCTCTTGATCTACAGGCACACACGGCGCGTACGGACTACATCAGTGCACGCCAGAACGTAAACTGCTTCTGTTGCTGGTGCTCAGAATAGATTCATGATTTTACTCTGAGTCCGTGGAGGCTCTCGCAGCCGCTTGTAAATTTGTTTTTCTCCTTCTGCAAAGGTGGGTGGCAATGACGCACTTGCACAAGATCCGCAGACGCACGGCTGAGGATGAGACAGCGCCAGACAGGCCGCGTCCCCTGTGATGCGAATCCGACGCCCCCCTGACCGCTGCCCTCCCACGCAGCACCCCGCGATCCGCGGGGACAGAGGCGGCGCAGGCTGCTGCCATGGGAACCGAAGCTGGAGGAGGGAGGTGGGGGATGCAGAAGGGCCTGACAGCCCCTTAGGGGCCCGAATGTCCACCCCTCTGCAGCCAGGTTGTACCCAGTCACCAGCCCAGCCTGGCACACAGTAGGCCTGCAACACAGAGGGGAAAGCCACAGTCTGCGCCCCCCGGATCACCCGGGGGAGGGGCTCCCTCCAGCATCCCGGGACCCGGCCTTCCTCGAATCCGTTTTCGGAAGGTGTTTCTGTCCCACGCCCCACCTCGCGGGGTGGTGCGATGTGAGCCACGTACACTAAGCACCTCTTGGGCTTTGAGGAAAACAGACTGGGGCAGGCAGCAGTGCTGAGAACGGAGGCTGAGGCTTCTGCGGACCCCCGGGAAAAAACCGGAGTGGCTTGGATGGCGTTGAGGGTGAGGACGATGGACAGAGTGATATGAAAATTGTGGATGGAAGTAGCAGAAAAGACACATCCTGGCCACGCAGCGCCAGCCTGTCCTGTTCTGTTATCTGAGTTTTGTTTGAACCCAGAGGAGCAGAAGCTGATCACTACTCAGCCTTGAGTGCCGCATGCTAGTCCTGCCACACAGATGATCTCCATGCGTCCTCACAGCCCCCCACAGCTGAGTGCGGCATCCTAGTCACCACCACAGAACGAATAAGGAAACTGAGTCTCAAGGAGGTGAAGGCACCTGCCCTAAATCAGAGGACTGGAAAACATGGAGCTGGATTTCACCCCAAATCGGACACCTTCAGAGCATAAACGTGGTGCACCCACATCATTAAAGCTTGAAGTTGAGTTGGATAATCCATTCAAACAGAAAGACACTTCAAATATTGTGGTGGCCCTTGGACCACTTCTCTTCTCCCTTTCCCTCTCCTCCCCTCTGTGCCCTTCTCCTCCACTCCTTTGCCTCTTCTTTCCCCTTCTCTCCTCATCCTCTCTTCTCCCTCCACCTCCCTCCCCTCTTCATCCCCTCATCTCCCTCCCCTTTCCCCCTCTCATCTCCTCTTCTCCCTCCACCTCCCTCCCCTCCTCATCCCTTCTTCTCTCTCTCCTCCCCTCCCCTCTCATTCCCTCATCATCCTCCCCTTCCCTCCCTCTCATCCCCTCTTCTCCCTCCCCTTCCCTCCTCTCTCATCCCCTCATCTCCCTCTCCTTCCCTCACTCTTATCCCCTCTTCTCCCTCCCCTTCCCTCCCTCTCATCCCCTCTTCTCCTTCCTCTTCCCTCCCTCTCATCTCTTCTCCCCACCTTCCCTCAGTCTCAACCCCTCTTCTTCCCACCTTCCCTCCCTCTCATCCCCTCTTCTCCCTCCCCTTCCCTCTGTCTCATCTCCTCTTCTACATCCACACTCCTTGGTGCTGTCATCCAGTCTCACAAGTTTAAATGACATCCATACACCGTTAACCACAAAATCTGTATCTGCAGAGTCCTGACACTCACCTGAATATTCTCTTTCCCCTTCCCAGTCCTGACGCTCACCTGAATCTGCTGCCTCCCCTTCCCAGTCCTGACACTCACCTGAATCTTCTCCCTCCCCTCCCCAGTCCTGACACTCACCTGAATCTTCTCCCTCCCCTCCCCAGTCCTGACACTCACCTGAATCTTCTCCCTCCCCTTCCCAGTCCTGACACTCACCTGAATCTGCTGCCTCTCCTTCCCAAGCATCTCACAGCTTTCCCAAACTCAACTAACATTCACCGAGTTTGTATATGCACCAAGCACTCTTCTAATTGTTTTACAGGCATTAACATATTTAATTCCTTCAACAGCTATAATACCCAGGATAAAAGCCGACTCCCCGACAAGGACCAAAGCAGCGGACACTCTTTAATTTGACCCTGGGAGGAGCTTGGTCAGGGAAGGCCGACGGCCAATGGGACTTGTCTTGAAGCTGCTGTTTGCTTCAAATTCTTAACAGGCAGTCTTTGCACCACTTATGAATGTGTGTGTGAGTGTGTGTGTGTGTTTTGGTCGCTCTATAACAAACACCCCAAGCTTAGCAACATAAAAAAGAAATTATTTTGTTATGCTTGCAGATTCAGAAAATGCAAGGTACGGATGGCTTCTTTCTAGTCCACTATATCTGGGGCTAGAATTAGGAAGGAAGGAAGTCAGTTAGGAAGATTCGATGACTGGGAATAGCCCAACATTTAGAGGGATGTAAAGTGAGGTTAGAAGGTACTAAAAAGTGAAGGCTGTACCGTTGCCTGTCGTATAAACTCTGGCTGTAGTTTTCAAGCTGGGATGACCTTATCCCTCAGTGGACACTGGCAACGTCTGGACAGTTTTGATTGTCACTACTGGGGAAAGGAATGCTTTCAGGGCATCTAATGGGTGGAGGCCAGGGATGGCCTTCAGTGCACAGGACAGCCCCTACCACACACACAACAAAGAATCATCCAGCTCCAAATGTCATGCTGTTGTTTGGAATTTTCTTCAGCAAGCATATCTGAAAACAGGTTTGTATCATGGCAAGGAATCGTGAAATGTGCTCACATAAGAGCCAGCTGTGCGCTGCACCCCTTTGCGAGCATGCAGGACAGGAATTCATTATGTGAGACAATGAGGAGAAGAGACAGCCAGTCCCAGGAAATTAAAGAAAAGTTGGCTCTCCGCAGCATCTAGGGACATAATCTGCAAAGCAGACAGCTGCAAGTTAAATGTTTGGATGGTTCAGAAATGGACAGTTCTGCACTGCTGGCCATGATGAGCTGTTTCCAAGAGCTACTCCCCTCGTGAGTTGCTTGGAGATGCATGTATTTCCTGGACCTCAGCTGAACCCTGGGTTTGTCTCTTGGAGGGAACAATCCGTGGTGGGTCAGTGAGCTGAGCTGGAGTCGTGACTGGACTGTCTTGACTTTCGAACTGCATCTTGTTAGACACCACGGGCTTCATGTTGTAACAGTCAGTATCTAGTCAGGCCTGTGCCAGGCGGGAGGGGCTCTCCCGACCCCACCAAGAACGTCAGGTGACCATCAGGTGATGGCCAGGGAGCTGTCACACTGCCTTTCTGAAATAATAACTGGTCACAGCCCGTGCTAGGTAAAAGCAGTTTCCCGATAGATAAAAACACCTGAGACTGGTGATCGGCAGCTTCCCAATAAGATATCAAGAGTTGGGCGAGTGGGCTGGAGCATGTCCATCGAGAGACAAAATGGTGGAGTTTAACTGGTATTTAACTGGTGTTTGACCTTCTAGGGGCATTCTACCTGGAAGGGAAGAGCGCCTCCGGTGAGCATGCGTACAACTCCAGTAAATACGCTACACGTGCGGCCCCTCCCAAGTGCTAGCGGGCCACCGAGCATGGAGGCAGCTCAAGGTAAGAGAAGAATCAAGGGAAATGGGATGCAAGATGCTGGGAGTATACCAGCATAAAAAACCCTAAGTCCACGGTCAACCCTGGCACTGGTCCTTCAAGCCACCCACTTGGGCCTCTTCCAAATGTACTTCCTTTCTTTTTGTTTTTTTGAGGGGGGGACCCACAGGTCATTTTATTTAGGAGACCGTTTATTCTGCTTTTCTTTTGGCTACTTTTTTTTTATTTATTTCTGCTTAAAAAAAAAAAACAGACACATATGCAGAGCATGCAGGTTTGTTACCTAGGTATACGTGTGCCATGGTGGTTTGCTGCACCTATTAACTTGTCCTCTAAATTCTCTCCCCTCATCCCTCACCCCCCAAACGGGCCCTGGTGTGTGCTCTTCCCTCTCTGTGTCCACGTGTTCTCAATGTTCAACTCCCACTTATGAGTGAGAACATGCGGTGTTTGGTTTTCTGTTCCTGTGTTAGTTTGCTGAGGTTGATGGCTTTCAGCTTCCTTGCCTTTCATTCTTGCTCTAAAGCTTTTTAATGAACTTTCACTCCTGCTCTAAAACTTGCCTCACTCTCTCTTCTTCTGCCTTATGCCCCACAGTCAAATTCTTTCTTCTGAAGAGGCAGGAATCGAGGTTGCTGAGGACCCATAAGGATCCGCCTCTGATCACGTATTTTGGTGCTGGGTCACTTGGAGAATTTGCATCGCTAACAACATCAGAACATTCCCTCCATCTGAATCTTCTTTTTCATGCAAGACTAGACACATCCATTCTGTGAGGTGTGTTTTTGGAGAAAAAATTAATCAGTCATACTTGTTAAAGCATGGTAAGGAACACTTTCTCAGGACCATGGAGATAGGTATAGGGGCCACGGCAATGGGATTTCACACTGCGGCAGAGAAACTGGGCTTAACTCTGAATACAGCATGAGCAAGTGGGAATGTGTAGCCCAAGAGCAGGGTGGGTGTCAGCAGATAAAAAATTCTTGAGAGAAAATCAAGGTGGTAGCCCGGCTGTGTTCAGTGTTCTATGCTCAGTGTTCAAGAGATGCACTTTTCTGAATGGTGAAAAATGGTATGAGTCCAGTAAGATTGTTGGGGAATTCAGGCTAAACTCGCCTGTCAGAATTCTTGCTGAAGACAAGCCAGGTTGATCAGATGTTATGTAGGGGTTGATGGAAGCTGAGGAACCCAATCAGATATCGAGGAAAGCACAAACCTGAAGAAATAGACACTTCTGGGAACTTTACAACTGCAGGAGTACATGCAAATTGGATTCTCTGCAGAGACCCACCTACCAGGTTACAACAAAGTCACTGAACAGATGTGCACTGCATATATATATATATATATATATATATAAAACTCAATTTTGTAAAGGTAGAGTCTCACTCCATCACTCCGGCTGGGGTACAGTGGCACACTCATGGCTCACTGCAGCCTCAACCTCCCAGGCTCAAGCAATCCTCCTGCCTCAGCCTTCCAAGTAGCTGGGACCACAGGCACACACCACCACACTCAGCTAATTTTTATTTTTGTTTTTATCGTTTTTGTAGAGACAGGGTTTCACCATGTTGCCCAGGCTGGTCTCAAACCCCTGGCTCAAGTGATCCTCCCACCTCAGCCTCCCAAATTGCAGGGATGACAGGCATGAGTCACAGTGCTTGACCTTATAATTATGTATTTTTAGAGCTGTTTTAGGTTCACATCAAAATTAAGCAGAAGGTACAGAGAGTCCCCATAGCTCTGAACCACACATGCACAGCCTCCTCCACTGTCAGCATCTCCACTGGAGATGTAAATACATACTGGATACCCCAGGTCCATTGGTTACAGTTGACCCACCTGCATTGACCCATTGCCCAGACTCCACAGATCACATGAGGGCTCACTCTTGGTTTGGTACATTCTGTGGGTTTGGACAGATGCATACTGACAAGCATCTACCATTGTCATATCATACAGGACTGTTTCACTGTCCTGAAATTCCTGTGCTTTGCCTATTCATCCCTCTCTCCGCTGCTTACCTCTGGCAACCACAGAACTTTTTACTGTTTCCATAGTTTTGCCTTTTCCAGAATGTCATGTAGTGGGAATCATACTAAATTAAATACACTCTTATGATCCAGCAGTCATGCTCTTTGGTATTTATCCAAGGGAGCTGAATACTTATTTCCAAACAAAAACCTCCACAATGAGGATTATAGCAACTTTAATCATAATTGCAAAGACTTGGAAGCAGCCAAGATGTCCTTCAGTCAGTGAATGGATAAACAAACTCTGTTCCCTCCAAACAACAGAATATTATTGAGGGCTAAAAAGAAATGAGCCATCAAGCCATGAAAAGACATGGAAGAGATTTAAATCCACATTGCTGAGTGAAAAAAGCTAATCAGAAAAGTCTTTATTTTTTTACTGGCAGCTTGATGTCCCATTGGAGAGGTACACCACTACTTATTTTTAAATCCCATTTGGGGATGACTTTTAAAATAAGACTTTGAGACAATTAATGGATAACTAATCTCTAGCTATGAAAGGTCTACTGCAGTGAAGAACTTTATTGGTGAATGTAAGAGTTAAAGAAAGAGGAAAGAAACACAAAAAGATGCTGAACAGTCAAAGACAGGTTTATTTTGGAGAATAAACCTGAGAGGGGCTTCTGATCGATTTCAGTGAGGTACATTCTCTCTCTTACAGATTAAAAGTATTTAAGGGTTCAGAGAGAGAGAACCTGTCACAGGTTTGGAATATTTGTGTGTGAGGGAGAAGTTTATTGTGGGGTTGGAATGCCTCTGGTTGGAGGTGAGGTTATCTCAGGGCTGACATCTCTCCAGTCAGAGGGGAGGTTACCTTGGGGCTGGCATGTCTCTGGTCGGGGAGAGGTTTATCTTATAGTCTGAATGTCTCTGGTCGGAGATGTCATTTGTGGTTTATGGTCATGCTGACCTTCACCATTAGGCTGATGCCCTTTGGATTTAGGAGATTTTTGATCAAGGTGAACTTTTAAATGGCAGTGCTTGTCCAAGATGGCGATGCTCCTGCTCTGTCAGTCAATATTTTAAATGTGTGCATAATCACGCAGGTAGATCAGCCTGGGGCACTCAGAAAGATCACCATAGGCCTCTATAGGATGGATTTTTTAATGTTCCCTTCCTTTAAAAACATGTACTCGGCTTCCCGTAAGCCCTCTCTCAGAATATTTTACTTTTGTTGATGATTCACCACACCGATGGCATCTACTTAGGGCCATGATATTGGAGAGTCAGATTCTATACTGTATATATTTTTAAATGGCTCTTTATCCCTGGAACACACCGGAAACACCTGCCCACTCCTTGCTGTGGACTTCCAGCCTTCACACCAAGATAATAAATTTCTGTTGTTTCAGCCACTCAGTGTGTGGTAATTTATTTAAGGCAGCCCTAGCTTAAATAAAGTACTCATAACTCATTCATAACATCCCATTTTTTTCACATTTCTGCCAAGACTCCAATTAAGAATAAATAAATAAAGCTGTGCAAAATAAGAGCATAACAAAACAATGGTTTCATCCTCATTCCTAGATTCCCTCCCCCAGTCTAGCTGCCCCGTCTGCTGCTGGAGCTCCCACCTGTTGCAAGACTCAGGGGAGGTGTGATGAGGGGACCCCTGGTGCTGCCATGGAAACCACACCAGGAATGGGGGAGAGGTGTGACTGGGAACAAGGGAGGGAAGCCCTCAGAGTGAGCTCTGGAAAGTGTCTGGGTAAGGTTGCCCCAAATTCCATCCTAGCACACAGTATCTGCTCAATAAATATTTAATGGAGCAAATTAATGAAATTCTGCAACCTTTCTTTTTTTTTTTTTTTTTTGAGATGGAGCCTCACTCTATCACCTAGGCTGGAGTACAGTGGCATGATCTGGGCTCACTGCAACCTCTGCCTTCCGGATTCAAGCAATTCTCCTGCCTCAAACACCCGAGTAGCTGGGACTACAGGTCCCCACCATCACGCCCAGCTAACTTTCGTATTTTTAGTAGAGACGGGGTTTCAACATGTTGGCCAGGCTCATCTCGAACTCCTGCCCTCAAGTGATCTGCCTGCCTCGGCCTCCCAAAGTGTTGTGATTACAGGTGTGAGCCACCATGCCCAGCCTGAAATTTTGCAACATTGTCTACAGACTTCGAACACGGATGATTGTGGTTCCTGGGTCATGGGTTTACACGAGATTCTACTTGTGAAAGTGCATTAAGGTGGTTAAAAATTTGTTTTAAAATCTTTATTAAAATTTCTTGTCAAATAATTGTTTTGTTTAATAAAAATGTTCAAAGTTGTGAAAAAACGTGCTAACATTGTTAACAACACAGCCTCTGGCCCCTGCAAACACAGCCTTCCTCAAGCAGCTTCCCCCAGCTCCCCTCTCTGGCTCTCTTTCCCTTTGTCTCCTCATCTTGTTTCTGTCACCGTCATCCGTGTTTGAACTTACTTGGCTTATTTATTCGTTTTGCTTGTTCACTGGTTTTTTTGTGGTTCTCTGGGTGAACTGGTGAACTCCTGAGCACTGAGACCCCGTCTGTGTGTTTCCGGGATCTGAACAGTATTGGGTCATTACCAATGCTCAACGTACATGTTTTGAATAAATACACGATGTGTCAAAGGTGATTTCAAAGATGTATATTTCCTTTCACTGAACACTGTCACTTCTAGAATATACCCTGCAGGTATGCCCAAATAAATGCCACATATGATATGCATGTCGTTATTTTCTGCAGCTTTTCTAGACCAGAATAATGGAAATTACTTCATTGTCCATAGAAGGGCAGCTGGCTAAATAAATCTTAGTATCTTCACACTTTGGAAGATTCTGCTACAATAAAAGAGAATGAAGTTATTACCATATTGATAGAGAACAATGCCCAAGATGAATTGTCACGTGGAGAAAGACAAGTGCCAAATAGTACATACCATCACTTTGCAGAATGTGCATCAGAGTGTAATTATACACAGCAGTTTATGAATAACCCATTATGCATAATAACATGTGCATAACAGATTGTGCATGATAATATTTGCATACTATATTAGAACATTTTTGCATGCATACATATGTAAAACTTGACTCTGCGGCAAAACACTGGCATTAGAAACTGGCATTAGAAAAATTGCCACTGGAGGTCGAGCGCAGTGGCTCACACCTGTAATCCCAGCACCTTAGGAGGCCAAGGAGGGTGGATCATGAGGTCAGGAGCTCGAGAACAGCCTGACCAACATAGTGAAATCCCATCTCTACTAAAATACAAAAATTAGCTGGGCATGGTGGTGCACACCTGTAGTCCCAGCTACTCAGGAGGCTGAGGCAGGAGAATCACTTGAACCTGGGAGGTGGAGGTTGGAGTGAGCCGAGATGGAGTCACTGCACTTCAGCCCGGGAGACAGAGTGAGACACCGTCTCAAAAAAAAAAAAAAAAAAAAAAAAAAGAAAAGAAAAGAAAAATTGTCACTGGAAGGGAGAAGTGAAAGAACAAAACTCAGAGGTGGAAGAGAGAATTCTTTTTGTTCTGCTTAGCAATTTGTACTTTGTTTGAAATGAATACATAGATATGCAAGAGTAAAAACAACTATTTATGTGATACTAACAGTTCTATTAAAGTGCTATTTTATAAATGTCACCATAATCATTATCAAATGGGCTAGAGGTTAACATTTATAAGATATGTGCATTAAGGTGTTCCAAAATAGTATAACAGGATCTGGAAAGAAAAAGATTAATAAGTATAAGATTATTTACAGGTTTAATTAATGGAAAAAATAAGCAAACTTTTGAAAGCAATCATCAGTAAACAATTGGAAATGAAATTTTAAAAATACCAACCACATCTCTATCTAAAACTATGCAATATCTATTGCAAATCTAACAACATATACAGAAGGTGTGTACTCTAATAGAGCACACATCATTGCAAAGAGAAGTTAAATAAGACTTAAGTAAATAGACAGACATGTGATGTTCATTGATGAGCAGATCTGGCAATGTTAGGATGGCCAAGCCCCCAGGGTATCGTAATCCCAGTCAACTTCCCAGTGCCATATTTTGTAGAAATTGACCCACTGATTCTAGAGTCTATGTGGAATGACAAAGGATCTACAATTGGCCCCCAAAAAATTAGGAAAACCTAAAGAAAGAACAAAATTGGAGGATTTCATCTGATGTCAAGATTTTATAAAGCTACAATAATCAAGACAGTGAGGTATCAGCACATGGAGAAACATATATCAATAGAACAGAGTCCAGACACACATCCCTGGTCAATTGATTCTTGACAAAGGCCATGGAACTTGATGGGGAATGGAAAGTCTTTTCAACTAAGCATTCTGGAACACATATATAACTTAATTTAAGATGGGATTATATACCTAAACATTGAAATCTTCCAGAAGGAAATATAGAAAAATATCTTCATGACGTTGGAATAGGCAAATATTAGGAGACAAAAAAAAAAAAATCTCACTATTAAACAGTCAGTAAATTGAATTACATTAAAAAAAATTCTATTCACCAAAATATTCCATTAAGGAATGAATATGCAATACACATGGTGGGGGATTATATTTACAATACATATGTCTGCAAAAGGACTTATAACCAGAATATGAAAAAAATGCCTAAGTCAATAGTAAAGGGACAATTCAATTAAAAATGAGTAAGAAACTCAAATTGGAACTTTACAAAAGAAAATATAGGCCGGATGTGGTAGCCTATAGCCTGCTATAAGAAAATAGCAGGCGGATCACCTGAGGTCAGGAGTTTGAGACCACCCTGGCCAACATGGCAAAATGCCATCTCTACTAAAAATACAAAAATTAGCTGGGCATGGTGGTGGGCACCTGGAATCCCAGTTAGTCAGGAGGCTGAGGAAGGAGAATCACTTGAACTCGAGAGGCAGAAGATGTAGTGAGTCAAGATCATGCCATTGCACTCCAGCCTGGGTGACAGAGCAAGACTCCATCTCAATTAAAAAAAAGAAAACAAGAAAAGAAAAGAAAATATGCAAATGGAAAATAAACACATGCAAAGATGTACAACATAATTAGCCGACAGAGAAACGGAAATTAAATCCAAAATAAGATAATATTTCACAATTACTAGGATGGTTAAAATACAAAAGACTGGGCCAGGTGCGGTGGCTCACACCTGTAATCCTGGCACTTTGGGAGGCTGAGGCGGGCGGATCACCAGGTCAGGAGATAGAGACAATCCTGGATAACAAGGTGAAACCCCGTCTGTACTAAAAATACAAAAAATTAGCCGGGTGTGGTAGTGGGCGCCTGTAGTCCCAGCTACTTGGGAGGCTGAGGCAGAAGAATGGCGTGAACCCACGAGGCGGAGCTTGCAGTGAGCCGAGATCGCGCCACTCACTCCAGCCTGGGCAACAGAGCAAGACTCTGTCTCAAAAAAAAAAAAATGCAAAAAACTGAAACATTGAATATTGGTGAGAATGTGGAGTAATTGGAATTTTCACACATCACAGATGAAGGTATATAATGGTGAAACCATTGCAGACAGTCTGAGTATTTCTGAGAATATCAACTGTATAAATAACCTTTGACTGTCTCATTTCACTCCTAGGCATTTGCCTCAAAGAAATGAAAACCTATGTCCATAAAAAGAATTATAGGCCCGGCGAAGTGACTCATACCCGCAATCCCAGTACTTTGGAAGGCCAAGGTGGGAGGACTGCTTGAGCCCAGGAGTTTAAGACCAGCCTGGGCAACATAGCAAGACCCCATCTCTACAAAAAAATACATAAATTAGCCAGGCGTGGTGGTGCATGCCTGTAGTCCCAGCTACTCAGGAGACTGAGGTGGGACGATCGCTTGAGCGTGAGGAGATTAGGGCTGCAGTGAGCTGTGATCACACTACTGCACTCCAGCCTGGGTGACAGAGTGAGACCCTGTCTCACAAAAAAAGAAAGAAAGCTTAGGTCTGGGCATAGCTGTTCAGGGAGATGCTAGCCTAAGGCATCCAGGCCTCCTTTTACCTGGTTAATACAAGGACCCCACAATCTGTGCGTTTGAAAACCTCTCTGGGGGTCATCTCAGGAATCCCTGAATATGCCTGTATCCCTACATCTTGCTTTCAGTCAATCCCTCAACCCTCTCTGAGGATGTTTGAAGCACCCAGCCTCCCTTTCCAATAATACGATTAGCTTCGGGCTATGATATTTTAGGTACAGGAAGTGGCCTATGTCATCCTAATTCTGCACTGGTATAAGGAGTAAATATGGTCCTTAATCCCCGGAACATCCTGAGGAAAACTTATTCAGTTTATTGAGAAGAAAATCTAATATTTGATAAAACAGCTGTTTAAAACCGTACGTGATTTTCTCATCAATCTCTTTCCTGGGTTACTGAGTGGGCACGCATGTTCTTTCTTTCCCAGTAATTGCTATTTTACTGTGACATTCCGGTTTAAGACTTTGACATTTAAATGATAAATGTCGTGTCTTGAATCTCAGCACAAAAACACTTTTCTACGGAATTGCTAATAGCAGTCTTCATTTGCCGAGTCCCAACCTGAGCAGATCCTCACACGGCTGCACTATTCATGTAATTTGAGAAATGACTCAGTATCCCTGCGTCATGATTCTCCGCAAGGCACAACTCTCTAAAAGTGCCACGAGACAGAGTCTCTCTCCCCCTTTCCAACAAGGCGTCTTCCACAAGGGAAATAAATGTTCACCTTTCTTCTCTTTCAAATGTCAAAGAATTGTTTTCTCTTACAGCAAAGACTCATCCACAAGTTAAAATTAGTTATCCATTTTCTTATTGTGAAGTTTAAAATACGGGAAAAAAAAGTGCATGAAGTTC